GTCAATTGTTCTTGAAATGGTTATGATATCCAAAAACACCCTCAACAAGTTGTTCCAAGCATGATTACGTTAATCCAAGTTATCTTCAACTTTAGATTTTTATATTTCATGGTAGGCTCAATTAACAGCGGCCTTCTCGGGTAGAATTTGATTTCAGCGAAGGCCTTCATTAAATACCCCTTTCCTTAAAAAAAAATGCATTTTTCCTTCGGATTTCCATATCACAAATAAAGTGAGCTCCTCGTCTAGAACACTAGCCTTTAGTCAGCCCACTTTGAAGGGTCAGTTTGCTTATTATTCATTTGAAATTTCTGACAAACCCTGAACGAATAAATGTACGAATACTCAAAACATATTGGTCGATGAATGTTATTTACTTTTTGAAGAGTAGCTTAAAAACACCATCTGTTTATATCCTGAAACCGTGCCGTGTAATAGAACGAAGTTTAGAGGAAAGTCGTCGAGGAACTAAGCTTGTTTAAGGTGATTCCATAGTAAAAGAACCTAACATAGATTTTAGCTAAAACTTGGTACACTGATGTAACAAGTCAAGAAGATGATAAAAAAGTAATAAAAAGTGGGGGTCACCGTGCTCGTTTTGACGTCACAATGCTGACAAATACGGCTATTTAGGACCCTTTTACAAAAACCGCGGGCAGCGCAAAACTAGACAAAAAGGAGAGATTTTTTCGATGATGCATGTGACATCACACAGAATTTGACTTTAATGTATTGTTTATCCACTTACGTACCAGAAAAATGCCCTCAATACCCTTGTTTTTACTTTACGCTCCAAAGTAGAATTAAATTGGACGCGCGCTTTTCGACCCGTGATGGCTCAATCCGTACAATTTAGTAAAATTGCCAAAAAACTGAACATAGATTTGTGCCAATTTTTTTCTCATCGAAAGGAAGCACTGTCCTTATTAAAATCATGAAATAAAAAATGGGGGTCACCGTACTCGTTTTTGCGGTAGAGCTGCAGAAAGTGCGCACCAAACGCATTTTCTCCGATTTTTGAGAGAGGACTGGGGCGAGTTTCAAAATAGAATGTATGTGAAAGGGGGAAGAAAGTATTAAAAAATCCGTTTTTACAGAATTTACATCGAGATATCACATTTAGGACACAATGTGATAAAGAAAGTGTTTAAATGAAAATCAAAGTGAGTAAGCACAAGTTAAACATCCACTATCGAGGTTCTCCGAGAGGAGGTCGAACTCAGCAACACGCGTACTGCTTACGTTATGCACATTCCCAACACATTGAGTCTCACCTTGGCAAGAAACAACAGCAAGCAAAAATTCCAATGGCGTTTCTCTTCAGTCAACTTCATTTTAATAATATTACTTCACATGCTCTTTTTTACGGCGGCCATCTTGTTATGCGCAGTAAGAGATGCGCAGTGCAAAACTAGGGAATCACCTTAATAGGAACTTTGAAATATTTCGAATGAATCGTAAAACAATTATTTCATTCGGCTTCCGTGTGGTGTGAAGAATTATGCAGATCTCGGAGACTGTTTTCCATCTCGTCCGTAGTGGATATCAGTGTCCTTGATCTGCACAATTCTTTATATCATACCCACAATCTTGGACAAAAAGTGTTAAGAATTTTGCACTTTTATACCCACAGAACGTCTATCCCGTGGATTGGTACCGCTGTAGCCCCTCCCCTAGCGTCACGTGGGTCAATATTGTTTAGACGGGGTCAGGTGATCCAGCCGGACTTCAACATTGTTTTTTGGGTGCAGTGCAGATGGGGGGAGTATTTGTAGTTGCCAGTGCTTTCAAGAGCTTTATCTTGAAACTAGACATACCAACGTCTGTTTTTCTTAACATTTTTGTCTATGAAATATTCTTTTTGTTGCGGTAACTGTTGGCTGTAATAAAACAGAATCTAAGGTACTTATATTTTTTTCCTGTTACAGAGCCATAACTCGTCTGACAGGTTTGCCGTCGCCCTTACCACTAACTATGGACTCTGCAGTGGAGAACATGATACAGCGAGTCTTCCTCAGTCTTGGATCCCATTGCTCCCCACACGGTAGAGGAGTAACCTCTCCTGCTCATGTGGCGCAAATGAAGAAAGCCTTTAGGAACGCCCTGGGCCGAGAGCTTAAGGTGGTTCATCGGGGTAACCACGAGAAAGAGAGTGGTCGTTGGACAGAGTTTATAAGAGACCTGCTAAAAAAGGGTTTCCCTGTCATTGTCAGTAAAGAGACTAAGAATCTTAGCGAACACCATTATGTGGTAGCGACAAGAATCAAACAGACCGCCAAATACTACAGTTTTTGTAATGACAGAACCGATGTGTGTTCACCATGGACTTTACTGGAGGAATCCCATCTGTTTGTTCACGAGGAGGACAAACCTGGGAAATGGGAAAGCGCTGATGTACATTTTGTTGCTGCCATTATCGACAAATAAAACAGTCGAAAGGGCTTATTTATCAGTTCTAATGCTGAGAACGGCTTCAATATTAGCCACAGCCACACATGAGTACGGAGGTCGCATTGAACTCTTGTGTGTCGCTTTTGGTTATTTACCCGAAATGTTTGACGAACTACTCAAACGCAAGGGCAACTCGTCATAGCAAAACGCAAAACAAGTGGGAACTAGTTCTTTCCTGTTTTGACTGTTAAACAATAACTTCAGTTTTTATACCTGTAGTCAAAGCTTCTTTCTTGTCCATTCATAACTGGTTAATTTTTTTTCCCTTCATATTCGCCATTTGCACATCTCCCATAATACACCTTGTTTACCCCCCAAAATTTTGCATCAGCATTGTCTTCATTTGCTCTTGGGACGACTGTAATACCCAAGAGAAGTGTATTATGGGAGGTTTGCCAGTGGCGAATGGTGCATTCTTCAGCTGAAGCCAAAAGAGAGAATCACCTAGTATTACAGCTACTGTATATAATGTAAAAAGTGTACCGGTTAGTTTTGTTTGTAGGTAAAAAGTCGTAATATATTGATAAGTTATTTGCCAGATGTCCCCGAGGTCTTCTTGAAAACTCTGAGGNTTCGCCATTTGCACATCTCCCATAATACACCTTGTTTACCCCCCAAAATTTTGCATCAGCATTGTCTTCATTTGCTCTTGGGACGACTGTAATACCCAAGAGAAGTGTATTATGGGAGGTTTGCCAGTGGCGAATGGTGCATTCTTCAGCTGAAGCCAAAAGAGAGAATCACCTAGTATTACAGCTACTGTATATAATGTAAAAAGTGTACCGGTTAGTTTTGTTTGTAGGTAAAAAGTCGTAATATATTGATAAGTTATTTGCCAGATGTCCCCGAGGTTTTCTTGAAAACTCTCTGAGGTAGCGGTGGCCTTTGACACAAGTGCTGAATATTATTTTTTCTGGTATCTTTCTTCCGTGGTTTTAGGTATTAATAAATCTTCAATAAACGACTTTTTCAGGCAACTTTTATCGTAAAGAATCTATTATTGCGAATTTTTATCATCGCCGTATGAACGCCAGTGTCAGAAATATTTTTTTTATAATTGTCTGTAAAGTTTACTTTGTGAACATTGAACTGTAGACCACTTGGTCCTAACTTTCTTAACACTAGCTTCATAAAGAGGTTACTAATGCCAATAAAGTAAGAAAAAAAAAACAGATTCAAAAAACAAATTCATCATGTGTGATTTTGCCTGTAATTCTCATGACCACTCTGTTTTACAAAGTATTGGTATTACAAGGAGAAATTTGATGCTGATCACTCTTAGGGCTTAAAGGGTTAAAATTTACATACTTTTTGCGTTGTCCAAATCTTAGCTTTAAGTCACAATTACAGAGGAATTAAATGGCAAATAATCTAAGGTCGTTTTTGCGTTGTTTTCGAGTTACCGGAGTGTTTTGTTTTGATAGACAGGCACGCATTAGGAAAAATCGAGTCACCATGGCAACGCAAAATGAAACATTTGTTTACATTTTAGTCCATCCAATTCCCAGATTTCCTTTTCAAGGCTCGATTTTTAACGCTGCAAAGTTGATTCTGCAACTGCACTAGTTTCGGCAGTTTACTTTTACAGAAGCCTATTACCCTAACTTTTAACACCTGTTGTTTTTCAGGGATGCTTCCTCTCTTCGAAAGCATTCAACAGTATTACCCCGACAACGCAGTCAAAGCACTATAGTTGGAAACGACTCCAGCCTCTTTTGGAGTGACAGTGTGGCAGTTATCATTGCTGCGAACCTCCCGTAGGGACCACTTGACACATGGTCTGAACCCCTACTGTTACAGACCCGCTTTGGTCGGACTCGTAGATGACCACTTTGCGTAAACTACCCCCAAAAACTTGGTATTTTAGGTGGCACTTAGGGAGTTTCGACTGTATTCCTGTTCCTTAGAAATGCCTCCAATATTGGCCCCAGCCGGTAGTTTGTGTGACAAAGTGGAATATTTTGATGCCATCTGGTACTTTGCCAAAGTTTTAATGAAGCTGATATAAGTGATATTGGATATTTGCTAAAGAAAACCTGGCTTGACGCACGGTTGAAAAATAAATCATACTTAGGCTTACATGTTAAGCTTTATTCAAATGAAATAGTGGCCAATTCAGATTTTAATTTTAAGAGCGTTTCCCTTCTTAATTTTCCTAAATACGCTTTTTTTTTAGTTGCTGTAGCTTTTAACAATGGGACTGGAACTAGCGTTCACCCATAAGGACTAACAACTTTTTTATGGTGTTGAATACTTTCTTACTTGGACCAAATTCACATTTACCTTTGCCAAAAATCCTCCTCAAACAAAAATCATAAATGTCTTGATACTGAACAAAGCCACCCGTAAAGTAGATTGATGGGAACTTGCACGAAAACAAATTACCTATCCTAAATAATTGATGAATTTACACTCTTCACACGCCTTTTAGTGCCATTTGCAATTAGAGAGACGCAATGTTTGGCACGTTTGAGGAAGACTTCAGACTGCAGGGCCTGTAGGCATTTCCTTGAATCGGCCCATCTCCCAGTTCTGCCAAACACTTAAAAATGAAGTCTCTGGTAGTAATTCTGATTGTAGCCTACATCCCGGTGGTTTTCTCTAGTGAGTATGATCGCCTTGTAGTGTTTTACTTGTTCACATTACTGTGATCTTTGTTTTTCGTTCCGTGTTGATCTTCTTAAGCAGGTTTTGTCGACGCAATGAGGCTAACGCTCCCTAATTCTCTTCTTTGTAAACAACGCCCCATTAGGAGACCCAGAAATCGTGTAATCCTACCATTCTTTGATAGGATTATCAGTATTTTTGCCCTGTGGAACATGACACAGTAGTCAGAAAACCAGAAACTCTTCGCAGGGCTAGGGTGGTCGATAGCTCTTTTTCAGAAATTTAAAAATTGATGTTTGGAGCTGGGTGTTTCGGAGTTTTGGGTTTCCAAAACATGGACGGGCCTCTGTACAGTTGAATAGCACAGTACCTTAGCATAACACTGCTTGGAACTCCTTTCCAAGAAGTCATGTCATTTTTTCCATTTAACTAATACGAGTGAGACATATCTTAAAGCAATTTACTCAGTTTATTAATTTTCATGCTCAAAACTACCCAATTTTCTAACTTATTCCTCCCAGACTACTATTGGAAGACACGATTCTAGCCAATTCTTTACCGCTTTTGTTCATGTTAACCCCTTTCGCAATGTAAACCAACAAGCCGGAATCTTACAAGGCTGTTTCTTGTCAAAGTAAGACATCAAGCAAGCGCCTCCCTGAAAAAACGACAATAAACGCCACCTGACCGCGGACTTGGCATTCAGTAGCATGCTACGGCGGTTTTGTAGTTAAAACTGATATTGATACTTAAAGATACCAGTAGAAAACAGCTTTTTAAAAATGGAATACTTTGCTTTCGCGAAACCAGAAGATCGCAGCCGGTATGATAGCCAACCATATGTACTTTGGTAAGGCTAAACGTTTAACTTAAATTATATGGCCACAATTCTAGGATCATTTTTGCCTTGTTTTCGAGTTACCGGAGAGTTTTGTTCTGATAGACGGACACGGCTGAGGAAAAATCGGGTCGCCATGGCAATGCAAAATGAAACTTATTTGTCTTACATTTCAGTCCATCCAATTCCCAGATTTCCTCTTCCAGGCTCAACCCTTAATGCTGCAAAATTGAGTCTGCAACTTATTACATGAAGTAAATAAAAAGAACTTCGACTCTCTTCTATTGTCATGGACCCTCACCCTATAACTGTATGGATGGAAAACGTTTAAAAAAGAAACTTGACGAAAGAAAATATTTGTTCTTCCTAAAAGCTTGGCTTTAAAGAATAACCAGCATACTTTAAAATATGTTTGATGGATAGAAGTAAGCTAATTGAGAGTTCGTCACGCACTAAATTTAGTACGAACTGAGGAATCAAATTATCATCGACAGCCGTGGTAAGCGCTAGATGTCGCGGGCAAGACACTGCACCAGTTTCCGCAGTTTACTTTAATTATTTTAACACTTTTTTTTCAGGGATGCTTCCTCTCTTCGCAAATCTTCAACGGTATTACCCCGGCAACGTAGATTATGGAGGAGCGTACAGTGACTATGACGTGTTCAAGGCGGTCAATCTCTCCTCTCGCACTCACAACAACGACTCCTGTATACTGCGCATGAGCGTGGCACTTAACTTGAACCGAGGACACCAAGTGCTAAAAAAGTACAACGGAAGTGCAAAGGGCAGTGGTGGCATATATTACTTCTACGACAGAAACGCGTTCTTGAACTACCTTGATTTGATGTATGGATATCCCCTGTGGTCGAATACTACTGAAGCGTTTAGGTACCAACAGGGAATAATGTTTGTTAATGTCACTGGTGAAGAGAAGTCGAAAGATGTTTGTAGCGTTCTGCTATGGAATGGCATGAGTTTTCATCAAGGAAAAGGCCTTCTGCATCACTATCGTATTGATAAGGTGTATTTGTGGCCTGCTCAGACAGGTGAGCCCGTCTTGGAACAACTTTCTTTTGTTGCTTTACTCAACGTTTATGGAAGAAGATCGAGTCCTTATGTAATTCTGCCTTGTACTTAGATGTCCCTCCAACTATTTAACAAATAGAGTACTTTATAGGCAGCCAAATGTGAAGTGGTATCAGCCTATATTTGTTCTTTCCAGGTGGTTGTAAAATCGATGTAAATCTGAAGCAGAGTACATGTTTTCCATCCTCTTCTAAAGTTGAGCTCAAATCTGGAAAAAAGATTGCCATGAATGAGCTTGCAATTGGTGACTTGGTGAAAACTTACTCTAAGGATGGGGAGGTCCTGTTTAGTCCTGTAGTTACGTTTCTGGATCAAATGCCGAACTATAGAGGTAACGTACACAAATCGTAGCCTTAACTTTGAGTTTTTAGAATTGCTTATCAACCCCGGCTTTTCCAATTTGGGTTGATTTGTTTTCATTTATCAGAAAGGCATACGTTCTGTTCATTTATACGGTACGTACGAGAATTGGGAAATGACCTTATTTATAATCCGCAAAAATGGCGTTAACTTTCCATTGTTTGGGCGGCATAAAACTTTGTAAGTTATGGACGCAGATGTTCTTTTCAAAGCTCCTCTAAGCCACAACCGTTCGCTTCTTTTAATTACCTACCTTGCCTATGCTTTTGTAGGAGATTTCTACACAATCACGACCATCTTCAATGTTCAAGTAACCCTCAGCGAAGCTCACCTTCTTTTTACCAGCTGTCCCCTGTCGGATGGGCGGCTCACGAATCACTCCACGCATGCGTCCAGAGTCAGACCCGGTGACTACATTCTGGTTAATACTCGATGGGGACTCATTCCCATGATGGTAGAGTCTGTTTCGGTAGCTGAAAGAAAGGGGGCTTTTGCGCCTGTTACCCAAGAAGGGACTATGGTTGTGGACGGCATTTGGGTGTCTTGTTATGCTGATATCGCTGATCATAACTTGGCCGATTCTTTAATGACACCTTTGAAGAGGTTTTACAACTTGGCCCCTCATGTGCTAGGTACAGGAGGCAAGTACGTACACGGTTACTTGAAAGACAGTCTTCGTCATGTTGGTGTTAAGATCTTCGGAAAAGAGAAGTTCTATCAGCAGGCCCCAAAGGAGAGAGTTTTGAGTGGGAAAGAGACATCCTTGGAGTCTCTCTTTATCAGGAAAGACAAAAATAAGTGATTTGTTTTAAAGCCAACTATTGGAGGGGAGGAAAATCCTCATACTAAGTTAACTTTCATGCCGCGTAGCCTACGATTCCGGCTTAGTTTCTGATACAGCATTGGTCTTTTTTTAATTTTTTTTTTTTTTTTATATGTATATATACGTTGTTTAACTCTTGTTCAGAAAATAACAAAAATGGAGGAACAGGAAGTTTAAGTAGAGAGAAACAAACTCATAAACCTTAGTGATCAATCATGTTTTTTATTTGCCTTGTAAGAAATTATTTCAGCGTAATCAAGTGACGTTTCAGTATGACATCATTTGTTTGAGTACGACTGAGAATTTATTTCCTTTCTTGTTGAAATTTAGAAATCTCAGTGATGTTGAAATATCAAACACTCTAATTTGAAAAAATATATATGTATTCAGTACTCTAACAAGCAGAAATAAATAAAAAACCAATGGGCCATTTCTGAGTTGCCCGAAGTATCTATCTCGACGCGAGGCTAAGTACAAAGCCATTGAAATGAAAATGAACTTTATTCTCACGCAAATAAAACTCTTTTTCATAGGAAAGGTTTTGCGCTCAGTCTTGTTTCAAAAGTGAGAGTTTTACGAATTTGAAATGGTTGTGACTAGAATGGACACCTCAAAATCAGGTTTGACACCTTATGTTTATTACACAACATTATACTCTACACCACGCTATACTACAATTAGGCGAATATGCTGGGCACGAGAACTTTTAGAAAAGTGGGGAAATCATAGTAAGAGACAGTTGTGCGACGAAAATAGTTGAATACAGGGTTTAGCACCAAAGTAAAGTGATTAGGGTGAAGCACTGTTTTAAAAACAGTTAGCTTTGAATGATGTAATGATCAACGCCATGTAAAGTACGTTAAAATTAACCGGTCTCGACAGTTAGCCCTTGATGGTGTAGTGGATATGGATATGGATTATACATCAAATAAAGCGGGTTCAAGTCCTACATACTTCCTTCTGTTTTCTTCTGTTTTCTTTCTTCTCTTATTTACTACTTTACGTTATAAGACTCCTAGCATGTATTTTGAGTGAAGATGACAATCTGACTTTGGGGTATCCATTCTAGTCACAACCATTTAGAAATGGCCCATTACAACGTGCAGTAGGAAGAATTTTTCTACGCTTAGAACAGACTGTAAATATTCCTAAGCTTTGTACACTCTTATTCAGTGTTATTGGGCAGAGTTGCTTCTTTTTTTTTTTTGCTTCTAAGAGGATCAAGATAACTCTACTATGGAAGTAGCACGAAACGCTGAAAAACAACTCATTCAACAAAATATTCTTGAATAGCATGCCACTGCTCTATCTCGAGATGCGGTTTTTCCAGGACTTGTTCCCAGTGTCTATACTCGCTCTCCACATTAACACAATACCCAAGATGCACCGTGCCCAGATTAACTTCACGCACTTTCCCGCGGTGCTTCACTTTGAATATTAGTGTGACCTGAGGTAGTTTGTCTGTATGCATGTCAAACACAAAAACGTCTCCAAAATTCGGCGCCCGTGTGTTGTGCGCAACTTTGGTTGTTCGACTGCCCAGCTTTTTGCCACAGAAGGTTACATCAAGTTTAACAAATGGATCTGCAAATAGGAACAATCGACATTAGATAGCTGCATTATTTCAATTTCCCGGAAGGGTCACTCAAAGGAACTTTGGGTAGTGTTGGTCCGAAACTTTCAAATCGTGATCCTGTTTAAGACAAAAATCGTTCATATCGCTACCCTGTTAAAGACAAGAGACCTTATCTCTTTACGCTGATTCATCTCGTTTCACAAACAGAATCAAGTAATTTTTTAAACCAATATTATGGTATTAGATTTTATGGAAACAAATTGTTGGCACCATATGCACATGAAGACCGCCCATCGCTAACCCTAACACTCTTTTAAAGGCGTCCGGTCAAAGAGGACACCCTGTTCAAGACGCTATATATAGTGAAATGCATACCCTGTTTAAGACTCAAGACCTTGAAAACCATACCCTGTTAAGCGGCACATACCCGCATAGGCCAAATGAGGGAGTGGCCTCCCGGGTTTAATTTTACCTCTACAGACGGACTTATTGGCCATGTTCTCAACTAGAAGGGAACTGGTACCGCAAAGTAATCGTTTGGATAGACAGCAAATTATGTGGACAGGAGCAAGCCACCTGCTGAATACGCTCTTAAGGTTATTCTGACAGAATGTATTAGGGCTTTTAGGAATTCTGGTGCTTGAGGGTCATAAGATAAGCTGCATTTCTGAAATAATTTTTGCAGTTTAGAACACAACACTTGCTGTGCGTCGTGTTTGTTGGCCTTCAAAAAATCCCAAGAAGCTTTGTGTTCGCACGTCGTACCCAGTTTTTCACTCGTTTAGAACATGACGAATCAAGTAAAAATCAATTCAAAAAAGGGATTCAGACAGTTCTTAAGTATATACAGAGGATTGAAACGCGGTCTCTTTCTGATACCAAAGATCAGTACCAAACTTTATTCAGTTACCTTCTCAGTCATTTTTAAGAGGTACTTACTAAGCCGTCCGGTTAACGGTTGTAGCGACCTTGCGCAGTTGATTTTCACAGTAAGTTTTTGGTCAGTTGGGTTGTGGCACAGGGAAATCAACAGGTCACCGAGTCCTGCGGACGTATCCGGTAGATCATCCTACAAAGAAAGTAACAAATCAGCCACAATTTTTTTTATTGTCTACACTCCTCGAGATGATCATGAAAAGCGACATTAGAAACCTTTAGATTCAAGGACGAGAACGACTACGAGTACGAGATTTGACTTCAAGTTTTTTCGCGTATTCTCAAAATATAGACTCCTTGGAAAGCTTCATTTTACCATTTTTCACTAGAAAAGTTAACACTGTTACCTTTAGTGAAGGAGGTTGCACCCTCTCCTGATCGCAAAATGATAAAATTTCTAACATTTGATAACTTGTTTCCGCTACGTCGACATTCTCGCTAAATCTCGTAGCAGAGTGACGACGGCTACCACGTTTTCCCGCCAAAATGACGCTGGTTCACGCGCGAGCACTACTTAGTACTGAGAAAATCTCGTAGTCGTAGTCGTCTTAGAATCTGAAGGTCTCTACTATAGTAATAGCGTCTGGAAAGGCGGAGAGTCCTGA